GTATATGTATATATACATTTGTACATAATTATTTTATTTAATAATTAAATATATAATTATTAGTAATTTAATAAGTAAAGTAAAAAATGGAAAAAAAGGGGAATAGTAAAAAGACGATAATATCATTGATTTAATGGATAGTTTTAACAGAGTTAGCAAGCAGAAACGATTTTCAAAGTAAAATGTGAAGAATATATTCAATAACTGCAGTTATTTAAGTCTAGGGTTTTACTTCTAGAGATGGTGTAAACCATAGGGATCAAAATTGTAGTTTACTCTATGTTTTAAGATAACTAGTTAGAATATATTTTTATAACTTTCTCTAGGCAATTTTTTACCAAACCAAACCGGTTGATGTGTATACGAATTATATCAATTAAATTGGTACCAATTAGACTCAGTTGGTAAATAAATTTATACCAAGTATGCAAACTTGGTTGGTACATGATATTAGAAATCTCGTACCATAATAGTATCATGGTACCAATTTATGTAACTATTTATTAGTTATTGTATTTTTTTAATGTATTAAATATTAAACATACTATCAGAGGAAAATACTTGATACCGTAGCAAATCCAGCCGGGTGGTGTTCGGTGCATTGAAATCTGACAGAATTTGAATAAAATGGAATGGTTAATTCCATTGACCAAATACCGTTTTGTGTTCATTCTTTAAGTTGTGTTAAGGAATTCAAATTCCACATACAGTGAAATGTGAATTTTTTGGGTTCAAACAAAGAATTCCAATTCTTTAAAGAAAAAGACTATTACACTCTTATATATGTACTTCGTTCCATTCCGTCTTGCCACCATCGTCAGCACCACCACTGTTATATTCAGTGAACCAAATAGATATCTAATTTTTGACGGATTCAATTCCAATTTCTGCCAACCATACATATGATCAAATATGATTAAATTACATTCCAATTTCTTTGATAGATTTTATTCCGTTAGGTTTTGTTATACTGATTTAAAAAGAAAATCGCAATATCTATACTAGTGTATAAACCAAATTTATCAAAAGTCTTAAAACAATTTTTAATGCACAAAGTACTGTATATTTACATACAAAGTCTTAAAAGTCTTAAAAACAACTCATAATGCATTAAGTACTACTACTTTATACATTCAATCTTAATCTCTCAATCTCAATTAAAATAACATAAGTACAAGTCCGATGCACATTATTATCTTTTCTTTTCATGTTCCCAAGATACTTTTGACACATTTCACTCATGACTTCACCCTCTCATGTATCTATGTCTTCTCCTCATCCCCCAAGGTGAGATTCAAACTGATATTCACCATGAGTTATTAAAAGTTCTCTCATTCATCTCCTATTCAATTGCTCTAAAACTTTCGGCCTCGCTCTCGATCTCTTGATTCTTTGGTCTTGGTGTAAATCGAATACATTTGTGGACTCTTTTAAATATATTGGATTTTAAACTGTCATACAATTTCTTTTCATCGATAGACTGTAATTGGAACCATAATTCTTATTTATTCAAATTGTATTAATATGTTAAAACCAAGTGTAACTTATATCATCGTTAAATATTCTCTAATAAAACCAATAAAACTTCAAAATTATTAAAATTTACGGCTCTCACCGTATTACACGAGTACACAACTAGTATTAAAAAAAAGACAAATTTAAAATCTTTTTACTCTTAATAAACCGATTGGTTTTCATGGTGTTTAAAATCTTTGAAAAAAGGCATTTTATGGTGAAAAAGTGATGGTCGTATGATTTTGTAGATATTTGTGTTCTTCTCCGCCGTCCATTGGCGGCGCGCCACCACTACCACTACAATAGAAAAAGTCTCTGAAACTCCTACCCTCCTCCCACTTGTCACTCTTACTCTTATTTCTCTCTCTCTACCATTACTCTTACTAAAAACTAGGACAAACTTTAACTACAAGATCATCATAACCCACCACCATCTCCGTCCATCCATCCACCATGGCTTTTTCCGATGATCAACAACCATATTTCAAGCATTTTTGCAGGATTTGTAAAAAGGGTTTCATGTGTGGAAGAGCATTAGGTGGTCATATGAGAGCTCATGGTGTTTCCGATGAAACTGGTAATCTTGACGATCAAGATCCGACCACCGATAGTAATTGGGATGGAAACAAAAAAATGTACGCTTTAAGAACAAACCCTAATCGATTCAGTCGAGTTTGTGAGAATTGTGGGAAAGAGTTCTTGTCATGGAAATCGTTCCTGGAGCATGGGAAGTGTAGCTCAGACGATGCTGAATCGTCGCTTGTTTGGTCACCGGAGTCGGAGGCTGACGATGATGATGACGGTGCCGGCGTCGCCGGATGCCACCATGGTGGCGGCGGAAGTGGGTGGTCTAAGCGGAAGAGGTCTTTTAGGGTTTGTTCTAGTGAAGATGAAGAAGATGTAGCTTTAGCCAAATGTTTAATGGCGTTATCGAACACTACGGTTGATCCGGTGGAGCTAGAGGTGGCGGATGAGCATCTCTTTGCCGCCATTAAACGGGAGGAGCAAAGGCGGAATCCCATATTCTCGTCGGAATTTCTACCAACTTTTACAAAGCCTCCACCACCTTTCGATAAAGCCAAAACGGTGGTGGCAGCAGCAGCCGCCAGTAGTAGTGCTGCTGCCACCACCCCTAAAGGCATGTTCGAATGTAAAGCATGTAAAAAAGTCTTTAACTCGCATCAAGCATTGGGTGGACATAGGGCTAGTCACAAGAACGTTAAAGGCTGTTTCGCAGCTCGAAATGATCAGTTTGATGATAATTTAGCGTACGAAGATGTTGCCATCGTCCAAAACGACTTAAAATCTGTCATCACCCGCCAATCATTAGAGACTGGACCCAACACTGGTCCAATCTCGTTGGCGGGTCGGAAATCAAAAGTACACAAATGCTCCATTTGTAGCCGGATTTTCGCATCCGGACAAGCCCTAGGTGGCCACAAAAGATGCCATTGGCTCACCTCAAGTTACACCTCAGAAGCTTCTTTAAACAAGTTTAACTTTCATGAACACATTGACCAACTCCATCGAAGAGCTCTAGCAATACCGAAAGAACTCGAGTTAAACCTCAACCTGAACCTCCCGGTTTCCGGAAACACCCCCACGGCCGACACACGACCGGACTTGCAAAATCCAGCGAGATTGGATCAGGTATCTACAGATATCAACCTGCATGCATGGAGTAGTGCAGCAGATCAAGAAAATGGTGATCATGGGGATGCAAAAGCAGACCATAAACATCAATTGAACAATAATAACAGCGACCAAGATGATCAGAATGCAGCACCGCCGGCAACGGCGGAGATGGTGGAAGATGAAGGTGAGAGTAAGGTGAAATTGGCGAAACTCAGTGAGTTGAAAGAGATGAATGATAACGATGGGAGTTCATCTTCATGGTTGCAGGTTGGAATTGGATCAACCACTGATGTGGGTCCCACCCCATAAATGATAATTATTATTTTTAAAAGAACATTATACAAACACAAGTATATATGTAACTCTTAAACTCTGTAATTAACATGTGTAAATGTATTCTATGTTTCTAGCCTATAATTTTTAATTTTATTATAAGATTATATATTATTATCTAACTAATTTATAATAATATTTAATGAAATTATATAAAAATAAATGTATTAATAAGCAATTTAATTTAAGATTAAACCTTAATATATATATATATATATATATATATATATATACTAGAAGCGTACTCGCGTAATGCAGCGAGATACATCGTATTTTTAATATTTCATTTTATTCTTTATCTCAGTCGATGTTATAATATGGCTTTATGTGATTTTGAGAAAGCGATGATGTTTTTATTTTTGAATA